CAGGAGGATGTCTATGCCAGATGTGGTTGTCGGTGTTGATTTCGGGATGACGAGTGAGCCTGGAAAGACTAGTCCAAAGAGGGTACGCAGTAACAAAGAGCAGGTACGGGAGTCGCATATTCGGCCGGACCAGAGTGGATGAGACCGGAGACGATACAAAACTGGCCGGGAAACCCTCGTGGAGGCATCGCCGATAAGGTAGACTCCAAGATCAGCTATGATGCCACCGGCCAAGTGGGAGCTTGGGGGTTCATGGTCGATGCTAGCTTGAATTTGAACAACCAGCGATGTGAGGAATTGTTCAAGCTTTACCTCGATCCAGATTTTCAAGATCCGTATGAAGGAGCACCGTCCTTCCGAGAAGCCAGAACGTGGTTCACAGACTATCTCTCATGTGTCTATCGTGCCGTTACCCGCCATTTGAGCGACACCATCCCTAAATTCGCATCAAAACATGTCGAGTTCAGATTCAGCGTCCCGACGACCTGGAAGAATCCTGCCATGATTGCCGAAACAGAGCAACTAATCCGTAACGCTGGGTTCGGTGGTGAAAGTTCTAAACATACCATTGAAATCGCCTTAACGGAGGCTGAGGCAGCAGCTGTGTATGCCTCGAAGCAGCATTATGAAGAAGGCGATGTGTTCCTTGTTTGCGACGCAGGTGGAGGCACTTCCGACGTCAACATTTTGAAAGTGGTGTCTTCAGGAGTAGGGCAGACAGAGCTCGAACCTCTGTCATGGGTAGAGGGCAGAGCGATCGGGTCAACGCTGATCGACTTTCGAGTGGAGAAGCTGATTGCTGAGCGCCTCAGATGGATCAGACACTACCTCCCGGCAGAGCCAGAAGCAGTTGCGTTTAGAATGCTGCGGGAGAGTTCGAGATTTGAGAGTTTCAAGTGCAACCTTGGTGACGAGGCAATGGATCTACCATCCCTTCGACTTCCAGTTCCCGGTCTGGCCTACGGCACAAACTTAGAAATAGCCCACATTGAAGACTCACAGATGATCATAACGAAAGATGAACTACAAAAAGTTTTCGATGATCAGATATCCAAAATCATAAACTTGATCGATGAACAACTGGCAATCCTTCAGAAGACGAACCCTCAAGAGACAATAACATACCTCATCCTTTCCGGTGGCCTGGGAAGCTCGCCATATCTGCAGATGAAGCTGAGAGAACACTATCAAGCAGCCACGGCTCGCTTTTCAAATGCACAACACATGCAGGTACTGAAGACCCCAAAACCACAGCTGGCAGTTTGCCACGGATTAGTCCTCGATCGAGTCCAGCAAATCAAAGACGATCGTGTGGTTTACAAAGAGAGGTATTGTCGAAATTCATATGGTGTTGTGGTCCGTCGGGCGTATGACCCGAACATACACTTCAACGAGCCAGTTAGTGTCGATCCTAGAGATCAAAAATGCTGGGTGGAAAACCAGATCGATTGGTTTATGGTTCAGGTGAGTGGAGTCTTGTGCAAGATTTGGGCCAGCAGTAACTGTGGACAGGGCCAAAAGGTGTCAGTTCAGCAGGGAGTGAAACAGCACTACTCTATGAAGGTGCAACCTGGTCGGGAACATCAGCTCTGGAATACGGAGGTTGTCATGTCGACTCTCCCCGCTGACCTGTTGCCGACAAGCTTAAATAAATCCGGGGCCCAGCGCGTGTGCAAGGTGGAATCGTCACTTCCCCAAGACATGAAGCTGAAGAATCGCCATTGGTACAATGCTCGGCCTCAATACCTCCGGGCAGAATTCGACTTGCAGGTACTCATCGGACCAGCGGACTTGAAGTTTCAGACACTGAGCAAGGACGGCATCATTAGTAGAGACCATGCCGCCATTAACGTGGAATGGTCCTCATCCTCGAAAGACGCAAGCCAGCCCGAAATCGCGGAGCTCGATGGAAATCAGGCCTTTGATGCGCAAAGCAAAGTCCACAGGTGGTCTCTGAGGCCGAGATGACGCGTTCTTGGAACACCGTGGCAGGCAGAAGGACGGCGCAATATCTGAGAGATGCTGGCTCATCTTGCAATGTTATTTAAAGGCCAAGCACAGTAATGGATCTATTTGTTCCTAAATCTTCCAGAAAGTAGCAACCTTGCATGAATCAATCTCCGCCTTTATTATTTTCAAACTAGATTGACTGAGATACGGAGTTGTGCATCAAAAGTCATTAATATACGCTAACTAACTAGAATTAATGAAAGCTAGCTTTTCTTGTGCTAGCACAGTGCCAGTAGTCAGTAGGGTCGCAAAGATGATCAGAGGGAATAGCTGAAGCTTAACTGACACAGACCTCTGAGCCACCTTGAGTAGCCTAAAAGAGGGCCTTACAGGTCTAAGGAAAAAGGGGGTTATAGCAATAGCTCTAGGGCTCTACCCTTGTAGCACAATTTTTATGTTACACTGAAGCTTAGATCAAGAGTGCTAGTGGCACTCTAGTTTCAGCGATATTAATGACTTTTGATGTTCGACTCTGTACTCTGTACAGAGTAATAAAGTTCATATCTGATGTTGGGCCTCCGAAAAATTATTCAACCGTGCACTGCACTGAACATCTTGAACGGTCCCAAGCGTCTCCGAGTAAGTATCTGAAACTCGCGTGCGGTTGGATCAGAAAATGTACTGGCGGCCACGCTATTTGCAATCACGGCCTCTTCGGAAAGACTTCTCCCAACACGACTGCTTGATGCGGGCTCCGTGAAAAGACAATTTGTGCACACTCTGAATCACCACGGACTTAGTAATTCGAAAATACAAATACATAACCCTCAGTCACCGCGGGGCCTCGGCAAAATTTTTTTGAGACACGAAACCGGCAACACCAAAAAAGTTCGAGAAGAGCATTCGGCTGACCGAGCTTTCCAAAACATTTCAAGATGCTATTGATGTCACCCGATCCCTAGGCGTGAGGTACCTCTGGATTGATGCTTTATGCATTATTCAAGGCCGCCTTCTGATGAATGGGCAATAGAGGCTAGCTGCCTGTGCGATGTCTACAGACACTCTTGGTGCAACATTTCTGCGTTGTGGGCAGAGGATCACCGGCAAGGCTTCTTGAATCTGGGCGTATCAGCCATATTGTTCTGGACCAAGGTCTGCGCGGATTATTGTAGAGATAGGTCGCTTAACTGACTGGGTAGTTCTTAATAAGTTAATACCTGTAATATGTTCAACGATTATTAAAAGCTGACTAGTTCAGTAAGCCCTGGTTGTATACAATTCCACTTTACTCATACATCAACCTTGGCCATACCCTTTCCCTCTTCCACGCAGACCCATCAGAGCCACACGCTCCCTTCAAGTTGACCGATACTATTTCCGACTTCTGTGCCTCACCGTGCTAGCACTCCTCACACTGCTAACCTGACTCACACTATCCTCCGGCGTAACCTCCAACTCCATCTTTTTCCTGCTACTTGTACTGCCCGCAGCCTTACTGCTGCTGCCATGCTTACTCCCATGCCTACTGCCCGACTTACTCCTGCTCTTACTGGCCCTGCTTCTCCCATCGAGGTCGATCGGGTAAGGTTCTGGTTCCTTGTTCTTTGAATGCAAAGAGAGGGGTAGGCTTGGAGGAGGAGGAGGCGGTGCTGTGGAAGCGCTGGTTACGCGTGCGAGATTGGCTTCTGAGAGTGGGGTTGGGCGTAATGTAGCCGTGAGGGTGCGTGATGTGGCGGCAGCGGACGGAGGCGGGTAGGTTGATGTGCGGTGGATTTGAGATTCGGAGGTGGTACGGAGTATGTGGCGGGATGTCGCCGTGGTGACTGGTGGTTCGGCGTTGCTTCTTTCCGAAGCGCGCCGCGTTGTCGATGGACGTGAAGCGTGTGATGGTGACATCGAAGGAGCTTGGTTATGATGCGACGAAGATCGAGAGATTTGAGACTGAGGAGCGTGATGTATTGTAGATGGTGGTGCTAATGGAGGCGCCTCGATCATTTTTGGAGTGCTCGTACGCTGGCTAGCTTTCGATGCTTTGCTGGGAGCGATGGAGCCGATGCCGAAGCCTGTGGCGTAGACTCTCTGGCTTTCGACGCTATTGCGGTAGGAGCCGGCTGTGCTGTGGTTGGGACGAATGGTTGATGCATAGTCGTTATCTTCTAAAGTAATGTACTTGGGACCTTCGAGTTGACCGTAGGGTTCGTGGTGAACGGGCATCGTGGGCTCCGTAGCACTACGAGCATATAATCCTGGACGAGTTTTTGTGTCTTTGTCATGGCTAAAAGCATAGTGAAGAGCTGCACCAGCGGCAACCCCAAGCAGAGTCCCGAAAATGACATTGCCGTCACCGTTCCCAGTTGGATGAGGTTGAGATGGTTGAGAACCACTGACGCTTTGTACCAAGTTGCGGGCCACATTAGCCACAGATACGATTCCTTCAACCATGTCGCTGGGTGTCTTTCGAGCCGGTGTAGGAGCTTCACTAGGCAGGGCAGAGCGAGAAATGCAGGACTCCACTACAGAAGGAGGAGCCCGAGAGGCTTGGCTTCTGACCTCTGACACAGCTTTGGTCATAGCCTTGGAAGACACCGTTGATTTGACGTCGTTCTCCTTGTCATCTGAATTGCTTGGACGAAAGACTGCCTCGATGGAATTCCCGTCGAAATCGATGATTGCTGCCGAGTAGTATCCACTCTCATCCCTGACTGCAGGCTCCCCATGGATCTTGCCTCCTGCTTTGAGAGCAGCCGTGAAGAAATGCTGCACGGCGGTCGTCGAAGGAGCCTCGAAAGCAATGTGTGCAGCTCCAGCAGGAACGCCTGGTATCTCTTGTGTGATCCAGAAGTCTGGCGGAGCCGATGGATGCAATGTAGAGCCAAAGCCAATGGTGTTGTCACTGCGTCCACGATATGCGTAGTTGAGTGGCTGTAGGGCAGACAAAAAGAACGAGGTAGATGTCGGCAGATGGGACACAGTAAGCGTGATCGAGGAAGGCATTGTGGAATTAAGGAGGGAAAATAATTTGCTTGATAAGATACCCTTGAACGGCGTATCGAAATAAATCAGGACGTGGATGACAAGAGGTAATGTAAAGTATTCTAAAGCTCAATCTTCTAAGAACGATTGATACGATTGAGGCTGAGGTTCAATTGAAAAAGGAAAGATAATGAGTTATGAAGAAAGGGTATATGTATAGCAGCAATATTTCATGAAAATCTGGGACCGATGCGACCGCCTGGACAGAAAGTCGAATCCTCGTGGCGTTAATAAAACTGCCCAGTGATCGTGTGCATGCCTTAAAACCGACGTAAATCAGGACATACCATCAGGTACCACTAATCTCAACATTGTCGCTAGTTTGCTTGGAGTAGACTTCTGGCCATACAGGAATGACTGTCGTTTGCATCATTAAGAGCGGCTGGACGGATGGCAAACAGGCCAACGACCACACTCCGATGATTGGTATCTATGTGAAGCCACTACTGCCGGAATATTCTCGTACCTTTCGGCTCGAATAGGGTAACATCGGCACCTACACGAAGCAGATCCAACAGACATGATAGTACGGATACTGGTTTCTGAAATCCGAGAGGCTGATCGTGCTCGAAGAGGTAGTGAGGTCTAGAGACCAGGGCATCGACCTGAATACATGTTGAGAAGAAGTTAGCTGACAGGATGCCACGTCGTGTAGATCCAATCCTGGGGCATGGGTCAAGAATTGCAATGAGTGGTAGAAAGGATTGACGTGGTTGTCTGACTAAGATTAAGCCGAGTGGGCGGCCTGCAGCAGGTGTGCAGGGGTTATTGGGCGCTCATGCAGCTTTATCACCCATCGCCAAGATCTAAATCGAGCAATCGAGCAAATGAGTCCTCTTCCTTTGGCAAAATAGTAACTTAGTTGACATTAGTAGCTTCGTTCAAGATGATCGGAGTGAAGCAGATTTCAGTCACTTCGTGAAGGGTAGGTAAGCGCGCAACTAGTAGCGAAAGTATGAGGACACAATGTTGCCGATGATTCGATGCTTCATCAGTACCTGGCGGAAGGGGTTAACTTTAACGGCGCATTTTCCTCCTATGAACGCTTTGTAGCGGCCATCCACTGACAGAATCGAGGCGCGATAGCGGTTGAGTGCGGTGTCTGTACATCATACGCCTCTAAGTGGCCTCAACGGAGCGTGTGTAGTAGCATCATGGAGAAAGACAAAGAGAATCCATTGAAGGCTTGGGAATAAGACAAGTCGATGTAAGAAGAGTGGGACTATGTTGAATGGTATATGTTTTGGTTGCAAAAACAAACCCTTCAACAAACCTCATTATGAAAATCCGTTTCCAATAGATGCCCCGATGTTATGATCGTGGTACTAGGAGACGCTTTTTGAAAGAAAGACAAACCGCTTTTCAGATCAACAGAGATGATCACTGACATATCTCCAGTTTCAGATAATGTCCCATACGTCCTCAGCCGCATGACAGAATTTACTACACGCAACACTCGCGCTCAGGCTATAGTTGCTGATGCTGATGGACTCGTCTTTGAAAGCATCTGCGAAGTCGTCCTTGCCTTTGGCCATGGCTCCAACAAAAACACAGATGCTTTCTCGTTCTCCTAGGCTCTGGACATAGTCTCTTACCCGGACAACTTCGGCGTCAAAGCTAAGCGTGACTTTCCGACAGTTAGGTGGCAGATGATCGGTTATGGGATTCTTGATGACTTTTAGAAGTTTCTCCTGTGAGTTTGTTGAACGGATCGAGAGTTTATGAAGCAGTTGGACCATAAGCCCTGCAAATCTTTTGAATGTACGCGGAATTCGCACGGTAGGGCTGACTTCGATGAGTACACCCTTGGCGGTATGGATGTAGATTTGCAGCCTTCCTGCTTTGTTCACCGGAGAATCAAGGAGAGTCAACAGACACTACCACCAGGCCAGAGTTAGCTGCAGCAGGACACACAGGTCATTGGGCTCATGGCAATCCTGACCTGGTGTGTAATGTCTGGCCGAGCATCACTAATATCACGATTCATCTTTCGCATTACACCAATATGCTCATCACTGTTCAGGAGGGAGAATTTTTCATCACGTCCGCCTGTTCTGCCACCATGAGAAGCACGATATGTTTCCAGACTCGCATTCGAAAGTACAACAATCAACCTCTGAGTGTCCTTGTCGGTTGCGCTGATGGGCACATGCTGCTCGGCGACGAGGCGGGGCAATTCTGGAGGAGGTAGGGACTGGGTTCCTATTTGAAGGTCCGAGTCAGTCAGTAGACTTGAGTTATTTGTCTGATATTTGCGAGACATCTCCAGCCAGGATTGGTGTTGTTGGTATCGTGCTTTCCTAACCTATCGGCAGCTCGCTGCATGAGAAAGAAAACTGGCTTACTCGGTCTTTTTCGCTTCCCGCTTTCCGAAGTCATGATGTTAATATCCAAGGCACGAACACGACGTTATGGGTTTCCTGCAAAGTGTAAGTCCAGAATTCTAGCACTACAAATACTCTCAAGTTCAAATTGATTTTATTTTGCATATGGTAGCAGCATCAAGTGAGAAAGAAATGCCAGGGAACCTCCGGACCGTTTTGCGAGCGATGGAGTGCCAAGACCACCAAGGATCTCCGGAAAACTAGTACTATCCACAAATGCTGGCCACTCCACACTGCCTTGTTGGCCCTTCTCTGGTCACGACTTATCTTTGCCTATGCGGGGTCTAATCTTTGCATTATCGGTGCTATTAGTCATCTCCGTGAACAAAATATGTGCCATTCTCTTACAAACGACTAGGACCCTTTCAATCTGGCCACACCAATCAAGAGCCGCTCTGAGAGCGAGCAATCGGGCCCGTTGATGACGTTCTTCTCTATGCGCTGGTAACGTGCGGAGCACATGCTCTGTAAGAGGGTGTTTAGAACTACTAAGGTAGTGATGGCCAAGGCTTCCTTCCAGCCTTAACGTTGGAAAGCTGCTGAGAAAATGTAGGTACTCAAGCAAACTTGACGATAATGTAAAGGTTAAATGCTTGAGCTCATGAGTTCTGCTCTTTACAGGCAAAGACCTGTAGCTGGCCTCTCCCAACCAATATGTGCAGCTACATCATCAGAAGTGCCAGTGATGCTGGTACTGCTAACACTGTCAAGCCAGCCATCACTCTGAGTCTATTTCCTGCGCCCGTTGCAGTTGCAGCCGCACCTGACTGTGTTGAGCTGGTAGCTGGTTGTGCGTCAAAGAAGTATCCACCGACCCCAGTTGAGTTGGAACATTCGTCTGCTCCCAATGTGCGAGCATCCGTGGAAAAGGTGATATCGGCACACTAAGGGTCATCAGAAACAATCACAGGGAATGCGGAGACTCTGAACCCGGAGCTTACGTTGTACAACGACGACCCGTGCTCGTTCACTTGGACAACTTGAATACTAGCATTCGTGCCATCGCTGACTTGCAGATCCGCTGGAAGAGTGATCCTCGGAAAGCAAAACGTGCCATTGCCAGTCTGGTTGAAGCCGTCAACAAGGGTGATGTTGAAGTTGGTGGTGTTATCGCCGCCGATGCCGAGATTGACGAATGTATAGGCCCAAGGATGGCTACCCCTGAAGACCACCGAACCTCCGTCCAGCGGCCATTCGGTTCGATTGGTGTCGGATATGGATTGGTTTACTCCACCACCTGGAAGCCGGCATCCTGGTCAATAGCTGTTCAGTGATGCAAGATGTCGTTGCGAAAACGTACATGGTCTCTCCCACTGCGTTGGATACGAGTTACCTCTCCAGTATGGGCTTCTGGAATGGAAGCCTCTGTCAGAAGGCAGCCTTGAATTGACGGCCTAGGGAGACTTACACGAGGCTGAAATGAGCCAGGGATGGCACCGACAACGACAACGATACGAGAATAATGGGAAGCAGCATGGCGGTGACTGAGATGGATGTAAGATAGAAAAACAGAACGACAGCGGGGATACACTATCACTATGTTGAACCAGGGTCAAACCAGGGTCAAACCAGGGGAGAAGCAAGAGGAAGATGGTATGGTCCAGACACTTTATAATTTTGCCTCATCTGGAAGAAAGTCATCACGCAGCGGGGCCTGCTGCACAAGTTCAAGTCTCCACAGATAGAACATATCATTACTAACCAACTGGCATAATTAGAGTGGTAATAATCTGCTCTGGTTCGAATGTCTATCTCAGTGAGCAACCTCAAAACATGCTCACCTCGGCCAGACTTGCATACCACTAGTACTACTTAGTACTAATACTGTGTGTTCCATAACTTACTTGAAGTTGTGCACATTCTTGGCGTAACCCCATGTAAGGCGAGTCCCACTGCAGTGGGTCGAAGCGAGCAAGTTATGAAGCAAGCTAAATTCCGCCAGTCTTCAATCGCCCTCATCATTTTACGCCACCATTTCCACCACCCACTCCTTCTCTGGTCCAGAACCTGTGCGCTGATTGTACAGATCAGGCAGCAGATATTGACGCCCTTGAAGTTATTATATCCAGGAGCCGAGGAGTGCCAATACATGCTGTCCGCAACCACCAAAACCCCGCGTTCTCCACAAACCGCACCTATTCCCATTCTTAGGTCCCATGGCTAACCATTTTTCTCTTGGGTGACTGCCTTTCGTACTCGATGATCGCCTGGCGCGCCGTACCTATTGCTTCCAGCACGGTGATGTCGTGTTCATCCATAAGCAATTTGATGGCCCTGTACAGTCGGCGTTGACCTCTTTTTGCCAGCAAATCATCGTACCCCTTCTCCCAGCTAGAACAATCGTTGAATGAGAGCCATTGAAAAGGATATTGGAGTAACAGTGTACTTGACAAAATTCTTCTCTTATGAATGCCTGCTATGCTGTGTACGATTTTGTTGCGTACCCAGAGCATGTGGAGCCCCTACTCACGCAGTTGGAAACGATACTGGCGGAAGAAGATGGAGTCTTGACGGAGAATGCAACAAACAAACTACGAAAACTTGATTCTTTGTTTTGCAAGACACAAAGAGTGGATCCTGCAAACTTACTTAATCCTCATTTCTTTGCTTTGTCGTCTGCCACAGCTATCCATACGCGTCTTGCTGATACTCTCTGTAAAGTCGATATGGGCTAAAAAGTTACTTCGGATCTCCTGCTTTCGGGTGGGACTTCTCTGCTAAAGGGGGCGCTTATCGCTATTGCTGCCTAGAACATCAATCACGACACTTCATTATGAAAGGATCCTGACAAATTTAATGGCTTCAAGCCAAAAGACACTCGCCATGTACTTATACCGGTCAATCTCCTGGTGCTAATCATCGTGATGAAGATTCGAGAAATGAAGATCTAATGAGGGCGACGTGAACAAGTACCAAGCTATGACCACCAGGCCTAAAAGCTTGTCTGTTGGTCATGGTATCCATGCATCTCCGAGTTGCTGCTTTGCCGTCAACAAGACCCAAGTGCTCCTCGCAGCACTGATTCTGAACAATGATTGGAGATTCAAGAAAGGTCAAGGGAGACCTGACCATGTTTTCATTAATACAGTGATTGCCCCAAGACCGATGATTGATATGGAATTCAGACGTCGGCAAGTACGGCGACAGTTCATCGCCTATGGCACCACTTTCAGGCGGAGGAAATTCGAATTTTGGTAATCGAATGACTGGTGCAGTCATTGAGATACAGAAGTACAAATCCTCGGGCTGCGTTGGGCACTGGCACAGATTATTGCATAGTGAAAGTAGGACATGAACAGTGTTCGAGAAGCATGTAAGGAGTCGGTGCCTCTTGCTATTATGTTGATGAGCCTCGTATGGCACTGCTGGTGGCTAGGTCGTAACGGTATGATGCCTTTTCGGACCAAAAGCTATATCCTTTGGCGCCCTATGAAAGATTGATATATTATACTATCTAGTCACGTTGCTTTTGGAAATTTTCACCCAGATTGATTGCTCAAATATTTGAATGTCAGAAGTGATCGTAATCTATGCCCCCAGTTGCGAGGGCCGTTCAATCCCCGCCAAGAGAAGATTATTCATTTATACTAATAGTAGACTGGAATATTGACCTTTCATACCGAACAGTCTATGAGATAAAATGGAAAAGCACGTTGTTCAATCCATCAAGGCGTTGAGAGCGTAGACAGACGTACCAGTTCGCTGTAGGGTACGACGAAATTTTGTTGTGGTAGTGCGCCAAGGCGCCTGCAGCAGATAGCTTGCGGCTGAGCCTGCGCTTCTGTAGAAAATTAACACTCTTTCTACAAATTTGCTCCGAAATTACGCTAGAAATTGACCAATCAAACGCAGGCGCACAATGGTGAGTAAAAATGTAGAAAACTGGCCAATTTTGGCACTCACTCACCTCTGACCACGTTTCACCTTTCAAGCTCAACGGCATGTGCCACACTCGGAAACCTCCTGGCTCGCCAGAGATTCAAGAGACTCAACAAAAGGAGCCAAATTCAAGCTGCGCGCACAGGTCTGGCTGTCGGATTGCGCGAGGCAAACTCCGGCATTGGTAGAGCGCCAGAGCTCCGACGGTGGTGAATCAAATCGGTAGGACAGTTCATAGGATCTCCAGGCTATGTGCATGACGTGTCATAAATCAGGAGATGCCAATAGGTCGATGTCCTTGACAAAGGTCCCCTTCTGCGTCCTTCGAGCCAAACGGTCATCTCCTCACTTGACGCGATATTGCCAGCCAACTTTCGCCGCCACTAAGCGATCCTATCTAATGTGATCTGGAAGGGTGGTGCAAAGGTCTATGATACCTTCCACGTGTGTGACAGCAGCCATCACATGGAAATGTAGACCTGCTCTCTAAATTGAAAAGGCTGTATCTCTGAAGAACAACCGACCCGGTCATCAATTTCTTGTTGTCAGTGCTGCGGCATCAAGCTTGATGCTTGATGTATAACCCTGTAATTCAATCTAACGACTAAGCTAGGGTAGTGAATTCGCCACCCTTTTCAGCTTAGCAAGGTGCCACCGAATCGATGTATCCCACGAAACTCGCGTTCAAAGCAGAGCTACCGTCGACGCGTACAGCACAAAGTCACGCGTTGCGTCAAGCTGGCATTATGTGCACAGGATGTAAGCATCACTGACAAAACGGACATTTCTGGTTTCAATCGGTAGCTTTCCCACGACAATAGAATGGCCTCCCATCGACAGTATCTTAGGCTTCGACGACCACTTGTTCTAGGCGATGCCAGCCGCAAGCTGTGCAAATGCCACAATACTCGCACACCAATCTTGACCGCTCCAGATTCCATTTCCGCTTTGAGACCTGAGCACGGGTGACTGCAACCTAAGCGATGAATAAGCAGCCCTGAGCTGTGGCTGTGCAAGGCTATTCCGAGCCTGAGCAGCCCTGAGCATCGACTAAGTTCTACCCTGAGCTCCCTATAGAGGCCATATTCTGGGCCACTCTTCTAGCTTAGAGAGCCCAATTTCGTACCCTTCAGGTTGCTGGGTCCCAATTTCCGGCCCCTATTACTTGCGTACACTTGCCCTTCAATCTGTCTCAGCTAAGGTTGCCACCTTGTCAGTGGGTAACAACGGACCATACTTGAATATACCAAAGACTAAAGGGATACGAAGAGAGCACAACCAAAATAGGAGCCTAGCGAGGAGTTCTCGAAATTTGCTTAATTTAGATGTAAGAACAGCAGCAAGGAAAGAGGCGGCATTAGAGGACTAGTATCTCAAGGTTTAATCAAAACTTATTTTAGACCCTTTCAATTCTGAACTATTAAGTCTGAGGACAGACACAGCTTCAGAATTGAGTCGTCACTAGTATGAAGCTAGATAGCATTGGAACTTATAGACAGAAAACCTATTCAAGTTGTGGTACATCAATTCGAAATTTTTTGGTATGATTTTATAATAGCTGGTCGCCAGATGAATTGGCCATCTGATCTCTATGGAGATTAAAAGTATGTGTAACGGACTACGCGAGCACACAAGGCATTCTTCTCGTGATATCATATGTATCGTCAGCGGTCCTCTTCTCAATCCTCTACGGCAATGCCTAACAGATCCATCTCCACAGCCAGGGAGTTGGGCGTGGGCGTCGGAACAAAATTCGCCAAGCCTGCAATCACATTGCTAGCATCTACCCTCAGCTCATCCAATACTATGTCACTGACAGCATAAGAACTCTCCCCCGAGCAAGAGGCCATTCCCGTTATCCGTCTAAAGCTCATCGAGCTTGCGGAATGTCGTCTCTTCATAAAATCAGATGGTTCGGGGGCCTCATTTTCTTTGTTTTCGCCTAGATGAAACGAGTAGCGACGTCTTTGGCGCTGCTGAATGGATTTCGCGCCAGCCATGACACTAGTAGAAGTTCTAGCTGTTGTGAAAAATACCGGTGAAGTGCATCTTATTTGTTGTCGTTGAGGGGCCACACGCCGCTTATTAGGACCAATCGGTTTTGGTGAATCCGCCTGTGTTGACGAATGGCTGTCCCACACGCGTTTGGCGCGATTGTTGTTTCCGTGGTGGTCATATCCATCAGTTAGCTCCAGGTCTTGCTTCCCAGCAAAACTGTCTCTGATCCCATGCTGCGGCAGAATCCCGTCGTGCACCAGGTCGCTTGGGTTGCAAGTCTCGGAAAGAGGCGTCGTATGTTTGCTCTCATTGCAAACGGGCCGTTTTGGATGCTGAATAGATTCAAGCAGCTCCGGCATATACCCGCGCAGATATGGTAGAATGTTCTTTAGATACCGACGCTCTGGGCTAAAATTACCCAAGCCGGCTTTTGACGGGTTATCAAATTGTCCCAATGGGATCTTTTCGAACAAGTCAGCGAGGCAAGCTTGCTCCGCCTGCGAAAGAGGACCGACGCCTTTGAGGAGATCGGACCTGGTCTTTGGACTGACAACCGAGATTGGTTCCAAAGATCTGAGTTCCTCCCAATGCGTTTGATGGCCTGTGGGCATGTCTTTCTGGTTGGAATATGCAGGCCGATCACGAAGAAGTTGAGGCTGATTCTCGATCTCTAGAATGTCCTCGCTTTCCCGAGCGTAGTTCTCTGCGTTCGTGGCAGATTGGTCTCGCCGAGAACTTGTTGCAGGCGTTCCTGCCTGATGTATGGTGTTCTGTTGCGAAGTATGCAAGGCATTGACTCCACCTGCGAGTGGTCCCCAAGACTTGAGTCGTCTCTCAATTTGGATGGGCCTAAGGCAAAGAAGTGCTCCATTAGCATCCATATCATCAAGTAGAGCCATAGTAGTAGGGAACGAGAAAAGCTTGGCTGGGGCTGCACCAACCGAACTGTAGCGGAAGGCACTAAGGTGTACTTACTTGGCCATCAATCCATACTTTCCCCTAAGAACGGCAACCATGTTTTGTACTTCTTTCCCTTCGGCTTGCATTCTCTGCAACTCGACCTTAAGCTTGTTCCATTGCTGCGGCGATATCCTATCTGCATAATCCGACTCTGCTGTCCAGCTCTTGAAATTGTCCATAGCAAATCTCAAGTATGCTACTAGGTTGAGACAGAAGGCAGAAGCGGCGTGGATGGACGCAAAAGGCGTCGGAGCAGAATATGAGAGTTTTATATGATTGTGCTCGAGGGAAGGCTCTGACAGCCAAGCCGTGCTATGCAGGTTTCGACAACACCGTTTCAACTGAATTTCCCCTTTTGACTTAGCGCGTATTATTGAGGCGTCTGGCTTCACGCGATCTATTGGTCGACAAGACAAGAAGTTTCACGTAGCGTCGACTTGACTGCCTCTGTGGTTAACAGACTCTCCCAGCTCCCTTGCAAAGTATTTGCGAGAAGGGCAGAAGGATCTGGCGCTGCAGCAAGCCTTGACTTAGCAACGGCAGCAAGACAATGCAGAGTCGAAAAGCTTTCAAGATCCTGTTCACAGCAGTCTCATAGGTGGATGGTTGAAAGCAACTGTGAGCTTACCGAAAGGGGCAATTATATCTTGACAGGTCACCATGCAGACGATCGCAGATCGAGACAAGACCAAAACCCTTCGCTCCTTTCATATTCCTTAAGACGGCTCTTCTCTCAATTCTTCACTTCATATTGCTCGTTAAAGTAGCACTTTTCTTGAACGAGTAGCCTTGTTCCACACGTGTGAGTAGCCTTCAAGGTGAGTATCAAGTCTGCTGTTCCTCGTCTTCCCGCCTCGGTTACTGCTGCTTATTACTAAATGTATGGTCATTGTCGGAGAACCCCACATCGAGATGATCCAAGCTTACTTGAGAAACTCTAATAGTTCCATATTGATTCACATAATGGATCAATCGACTCTCCAAGACGGCCGCAAAACAAAGATTTCTGAGCCAAAGCACACGGGCAATAACAACGGCAGTCAGGAAGAGGCGTCGAAGCACACCTTCAAGGCTACACAGAGCAACACTGGGCACATTTCAGATCCCAGCTATAATGATGCTCCTGAAGGCAACTTACTCGCTCGGAACTTGCCCCATCCTATCACGAGCAAACGTCTGGTTCTTGTTGACCGATCGGGGTTCGCGGAGCCACGAAGACTTGCTGCCAGTGCTGTCACCCGGGACAACCTTCGCCAACAGCAGTCTCTGCTTGCTGCACTGACTCCAATGACACTATGGGAGTCCGAATCGATGAAGACTGGCGTTTGGAACAGTGTGGGCGCCGTTGTGGTGACCGAAGTTGTGGATGCAGTCTGCAGATGGATTGTCTTCGAAGAGGAATAACAAGAAGTAATGGTGGAAAGCTTGCCGGGATATGACTAGAGCTCACCGATAGGCTTTGAGGAGACACAGCAACTTGGAAAGACCATTTTTTGCGAAGCTGGGCTCACTTATGGCCTCTATGAATTCGATACTCGGTCCAAGTTGGCGCTATGACTGACCGTCATCCGAAATCGATAGCCAGAACGAGATAAAAGACTCTTGTGCCACGAAAGGCCACATTGCTCACTCCTTGATCTCACTTCTTCTGTCATGCCATATAATTTCTCCTCTGACGTGCACTTCTCTCTGTCCAAGACCCCGTTCCGCACTCAACTCGAGCCTTTTTATCATCATCAAAACCACAATTAACAACGCTCATAGGTCGACTGCAAAAACATTGCCGCCGAGACATCTTTCGGCTCTTTTAAAGTCCTCATCTTCTTTCTTTGGAGGTTGGTTTAAGGAGATCAAATCTTGCTTGATGTCGTTTTGTGCTCTAGTGCAACGTATCTTAGCGCCTTGCATCTATTAAATATGGGCCTCGCGGGCAAACGCGGTTAGCAGATTGGGCGCTGTGTAACCCTAGAATTCCCGCGGAGACTGTTGAAATTATTGGCGTGCTTCCCGCCAATTTAGGCTAGTGCATTGATTCCGGGACCATTTTGGTTATGCAAGGAGTCTTTCCACCTAGAACTCTAAAGGCATGAATTAATATTGCAACTGCACCAAATCATCGTAGAGGCTCTATTCTGGTCTATGATCGAAGAGCTTTCGGCGGAGGTGCTGCATAATAATTGGACAAATTCCTTGTTCAGGCTGCCAGCGGATTTCGCAATCCAGATCCCATCAGACTAACCTGCCAACGAGTTACATTAGCTATGCATGAGAACAGATGTACTATGCTCGCTTTAGGATGGTTTCGTGCAGTGCGATGATGAATTTCAAGGTAAATAGTTACTCGGTACGGAGTACTCCGTTGATAGATCTGCTCGAAGCCTTGCAATCTGAAAAGCATAGATAATGACTTGAGTGGATGGCTTCCAAGTCACTAGTAATTGAGGTGGACCATGATTCATCAAGGGCGCCGGAAGTAGTCTACTAAGATTTGAAGCCCGAAGGCCCGAAGCCCTGAAGTCTGCACTTAACAAGTTGTGAAATTAGCAGAACATAGTTACAATCGATTACTTCATTAGTTCTGAAATATTCCGTACTCTCCAGAGGACTTTATAACTCCACACCATCTCCTGAACATGTTGTTCATTCCTGCGTCTAAAGCCTACTCCTACCCTAACGTGGAAGGGCACCTCTTCGTGGTGCTGTGGACCAGTATCTTTGCTTCAGCATTGAGAAGCTAGGATCCATCCAATAAGAGCAACTACGGAGTGCATGCGTTTCATAAGTGTGTCCGTGGACTCTTGAATGGCAGCTTGCTACAGAACAGGGTTGGGGCTCTCTTAAAAGACCACCTACCTTTCACTCAATAAACGCACCTCTTTTCGCACTCGTTTTGACGCCTCCCTACTCAAATCACGCCAAGAGAGTGAATTATCTACTCAACGCACAAACGCGGGCGGTTCGCAGGCGTTGCGCAGTTGTTTCGCAGGCACTGCGTACGCGTTTGTGTAGGTGAAAACTCTGCATTCTTGGCATCCCTCCGCAGGCTCGAAAACACTATGGGTCATCCACCTACTGTATGGCAGACCTATAGCACAACCCTTCGAATCTATCCTCTACTCCTGACTTGACTCCTCGAGCGATTCGAACTATCCCGTGTGTCATTGATTTGAGTATCCTTCCTATATAAGTTTAACGTTCCCGCAGTTTAGCGTAACAAAACTGCGGGGAACGGTAAACCACAAAGCGTATGTAACCCAAATCACTGACACAGGGGATAATAAGGGCCCAAAATCAGGATGAAGCACAAGTGAGGTGAGGATAAGCAGCCTGAGCACGAGGGTGAGCGGAGGACGTTAAGACTGAGCTGTGGCGGTGCGGCCTGAGCAGAGGCTGAGCCGAAGTTGAGCCGGCAAGAAAATGCTTAGTCAGGGCCCGACTAAAAGAGACGTAAGACTGGGTCGAGTTTGGTGTGCTAATGCCTGATGAACATGAGGATAAGCGGTTGACTGGAAGAGCATCGCAATATGCAGGGAAATTGGAGACAACCGGGTCGATCCAGTTGCTTAATGGTCAAGGATTGATATAATGAAGTATGATCGGTACATGTTCGTCTGCAGATCGGACCATACTGGTCGAGCTCAGCTGACGCCGTTGCAGGTATCATCAGCGAGCCATCAAGTAGTGTACGCCGTGGACTTCTGTCCCCGCTGCCTAAGAAGGACGAAAAGATAACTCGAGCTTGCCTAGTCCGTATGATGTCTTCGAACCGAAGAGAGTGCTCGAACACTGAGGCGATTGTTAGGTGTTTTGTACATTCGATACCAGGTGTGATGTCACAGCGGGTGTCATTATCGATTTCGAAAGGTTGAGGGAGTGTGCAAAGGAAACCCAAGCCGGCGTTGTTCTCATGGTCATATCAAACCCTTGGGATTACTGAAGGCATTGTGGCTTGCAAGACTGCTGCAAAGTCTTGCCTTCATGTTGCTTGCTCCTTCTCTCACACGGAGAGAACAGGGTGTCAGAACAGAAGTGAGAAGCATGAGGGCAAGCTGTGGTCTTGGCAAAGAAAGGGGAACAACAAGCACACCCAGTCGCTCCGGTTCTACAACCCGACTGCGCACCCTCCAAGCCGAACGAAAAAAGGACGAAAGTTCTTCATGAGTCTGCTATTACCTACTCATCAGTTTCACTATCTATTGCACTCAAAAAAGGGTAGAAGGATAGGTCAGTTTGAGGATCGAACACTTGACTTGAGGGGACAAAAAACCTAGTACCTTCCCAAAATGCACAGGCGTCCCCGTGCAGGCTAGGTCTGGTATAGGAAAACCCCTTTGTGTAAGGTCAATGCAGTGGATAGGCTACAGCTACACTACGGCTACGCCACGGACTCCCACGATTTTTTTTGGTGACCGAAGCTGCGCAATTAAATTATTTATTCACTTCCCATCGCATCGGACGCCTGGTTTGCAGCCTATGACAATGCAACAGTGTCACTCTACCATGAATTTCTCTGCAAATCCCACTCACCACATATTGCGCATTCTCGATCCGAGGGGGCAAAAAAGGACACTATCTACCCTGCACACGCTCAGATCAGCCAAATTAGCAGAAACGTAGCATAGCCTCTCCCAGCCAGGCGTATTCGACCGGGAAGAGCCGTGCAAGGAAAACTCTACGTGTATGGTATAACGGCTGGGTCGATGTCCCGATCTCATACTAAGCACTGGGTTTCTGGTGGCTATCATGATTTTGCAGAAGGAACGAATGATACACATTGCCGAGTACTGATCGGGTTAAGGATTTGAGGAAGCGGCGTTGAAGGTAGGCGCGCTACAGGAAACGCTGTCGCTGCTGCGGTGTCTTCTGCCTACGACTCCGAGCGATATGGGGGAGTGGTTTTGGGGCGGTTGGATCTGACGATGCGGAACATCACTACCATGGTATGATCGTATGGGTGCGTTATAGGGTGGGAAATGTGTTTGGTCACATTCCGCTATGGGCAAGGACCTCTGTTGGCAGGAATAGAAGGCTGTCTCTATCATTCGTCCACAGCATGCAGACTCTTCTGGTATTGTTGCATTTGCGAAATATGAAATTCGTATTGGCAGATCAGATCTCCATAGCGCACCTCTTCCAACCCTCTACGAACTAGATATCACAGAGTCTTTTACTGGCGAACTCCACGACTATTTTTGTGTACTCTAAAGTGGCGTCTAACGATTTGACTTTTTCAAGCCCGTCTCAATATCGACTGATTGGTCAGTAACGCGCTTTACTCATGCGCCTCTTCCGGCTTTCCCAGTCAGTTGATCCTTGGGATCCGGATTAATCCACATCCGTTTTGGAGCGGAGGAATACTTACTTAGTTTGGGTGATTGTTTCGTTCTTTTCCCTGCTTCCTAGCCTCCAACTGGTTCCAAGCATCATACCATCTTTCCATCTCTTCATCATAGCTACCCGGCGCCGCGGTCGAATCGAGTGAGTTGCTATCTCCTCTTCAGGCCATAGAGTTTGCTCGAACTCCCAGCCACGTGTAGCCCATTTTTTGTAGACGTTCCGGCATGCACTTGCGTGAGAGGGACTTTAGCATGTAGCCTTTGTGTTCCTCGAACGTCGGCATGAAAAAGACTGCGTAAGCTGTGCTCCATGTGATTATGTTGACGACATCTGTGGCATAAAATCTGGCCAGAATTGATGCAATAAGTATCACTGAGTTTCCAATGATTTGTATTTTCAGGTCCGGGCTCGATTTTGTGCTGGGTTCTATATATGTTCCAACCGATGGCATCGCTGATTAGTGTAACGCCCCAATCAGTACAGTAGGCGACGGTCACAAACCCGATGCATCGCCTTGATGTCGTATGCATTTGGGTCGTGGATTCCGTCAGGATCCAGACCATTGTCTGTTTCTGTGAATTGAGGGCTTGTGCGGGTGTAAGCTAGGTGATATCCCTCGGCCAAGGTGAAGAATTTCACCAGGCCTCTAGCGTACTCGCCACGCTTAGCAAATATGTCCAAATCGGAGTTATGATATAGTTCGGTCAAAATATTGTACAGTAAAGCTTCCAGAGATGAAAGCGCCGCTGTCGCGCAGCTGTGAGCAGAGTCTACAAGGCTCTGCCACGAACCTAGATAACATCAGATCGATATTACATAGAGCGGGCAGTAGGTCCTCATAAGCTCGCGAAAGTTACTTGCAAGTTCTAGAAAGAGCGATGATCGTTCCAATAGAAGGAGTAAAACAATATTAGGTCCCCGACAGGGTAGCAAGAGAGCAGTCGAAGGAGATCGAACTGAGATTTCAGGGAAGGATTTCCCAGATGCAGATTCTCTTGTTGCTCTCTGAGTGCCATCATCAACGCAGAAATAATCACAAGAATCGATTGTACTTATCGAGACACAGATTGAGTATAAATCTATCGAATTGACAATCAGTTGACAAGAATCGGTTGGTGGTATAGCAGGCAGTTAGGGCGAAGCAGAAATCTGCTCAGCCAATACTTATCATCAGTAATGAACGTTGCAATAATAGGAAATAGCGACATTCTTTCGATAGTAACTGAAGCATCCCATTGTCCCAAGCCAGGGGCAAAGAGAGTAGCCAGAGGAGGTTGTACAGGCTAATCAAGCGCTTTGCTAAGGACACTGCACTGCCAGTGGTCCCCAACCGCTGCAGTGTCAGAGTTCTCCTAAAACAATCAGCAGCGTCGTGGGATTCAAATACATCTTGCTATCCGGTTTGTAGGATAGGGGTATTGCCCAACTTTGCTTCTAGCCTATTTGGGAAGGCTTATCATCTGCACCTCAAATTGGAGGCTACATTGACCGGTCAAAGACAGCATTTGTCTTACCTACCGAACAGAATAGTAGCTCTTCTATCCATTCGCAACAGCATGACCACTATCCAGACATCTCCTGCACGACTCCTGTTCTAGGGTAGCGGCAGCAAATCCGCCTTGCATCTGTCTGTGCTCAATCAATGAATTCCCGTGTCTAGAAGCAGACCTCCCTTTTGATGAACATTGTACAGTCCAACGGCCATCAGCTTTATCGATAAATCTTCGGGTGGAAGTGCTTGCATGATTACGATGGTATTTTTTTCACTTAAACTTTCATGCGTTAACAGGATTGGCTGCTTTCACAGGAAGGCTTATATCACAATTTCCACTTCATCATCTTTTTCTTTCTGCATGATGCTAGTCATGGTTGTTGTTATTGTTCTTGTTAGTTTCATGAAATTTCAGATAAGCAATTCCAACTTTTATAATCCTGTTGTACTTCCATACCCCTCAGTTCTATCGATCAGCTATGATCTCATGCCTCCTCTTGAACCATGCCCATTAACTCTTGCATTGGTCCCTTATCCGTCCCGTTCATGGTCTTATACACTAAGGAACGGTATGGGAGCGACAGCTGATTGAGTGTTGTTGAGTGTGAGGCTGTGTGCCTACTACTACTGCGATTAGCTTTCAACCATTAATTCCCTCCAAAGCTCTCCCGATCACAGGTACTATGTGGTAGAAGTTGGCACTTCTACAAAGCTCTGCATCTGTATGTGGAATACCATCTGAACATCGTTTAGCATTAGGTAAGGAAGCATGGCCTCCGTGTTGATGTCTGACCTCCTTCTAAGGACCATTCCTTTCTAATTGGGAAATCAACCACGATCATGTACCGGGCGGAAACAATGCCAGACACGACCGCTGGCGGAGTTCAGACCCACATTCACTATATCTGAACGCTTCCGGACTGTCCATTACTTTCCGGCCCCCTAAGCTTGACCAGAAACTTCCAGCTAGCTGCATTTGCCAATTAATATATCTTGCAATTGGCCTCCACAGCTTTATTCATATTTCCGATGGTCCCATACTTCTATAACTCCATGGCAACCGCTGTTGCAGCATACAACCAGCACGGTATGCTCTCACCTGTCTCGTCATGTGTCCTGTATGCAAACCTATGCTCCATGGAGTAGCACTAACAACATGGTACTACAGTGGTTTACAGTCTACCACAACCAGTTGACAATCCAGAACCATCCAAATACTACGTGCGCTGGAACGGAGGATATGTCGAAGTAAATATCAAGCTCCAAACCCAATCTTATGCGACGCGACCCCGTTGTTGTTGTCCTCTGGCTTATGCAGGATCATTTCTAATGGACCATTGTTTGACTCAGGTCACCGACACACTCATTTCTAAGATGATATGCCCAGCTGACCTCCGTGGAGAGCCGTGTTTGCACGACAGCCTTGCTGGGTGTCATAAGATTCGCCTATGCAGGGTAAGTCAGCACATATCATAATTATCTACCATTGGACTTCCGAGATGATCCGCTAGGGATAGCTCTTTCCCTGCTCCTGGACCATCCTTGCTATGCAGTACTAACAAGCTTCGGTGCTGCAGATGCTGGTGAAATACACGCCGTACTTCTGTCTTGATGAATCGAAGTGTCCGCATATCCATGCAGAGATCGACGTGTCTTGCCGCTATGTCGCTCGGGACGCTAAGGTGGGCAGCACTACGTGCAGGCAGGTTCTCGAGAAATACAAGCATTGCCATGCTGGACACGACTTTGAGGCGGCAAGAAAGTCTTCTTGGGCATCATATGTATCACACCAACGAGAAGCAAGAGCATTGGTATCAGGCAGATTGGTACTTCCTTGAAGTGATAAAGTGGTTTACATGAGCTGTTGAACGAGGCGATCAGAAACTGTATTGGGGAAGGCTCTTGCAAGCACAGTAGATGAGGGTCTGAAGTTCACATTGCTGTTTCATAGAACATAATTTGAGAGGGGTGAAGAATGCCAAGAGCTATCTAAACCAGGCCTTGCACTAGTACTAGTTCAGTAATAATTCAAGTTGGGAGCTTGGTACTCCGTATCATCTTTGGGTGATCTGGTTCCTCCCCAAATCGTGTTGAAGTTGTCCAGATGCTGCTCAGGCGATGTGAAGGGACACTGATCCATGGGCGTCCGTTGTCCTGATGCATTGCTATAAGGATGCCATCTGTGGTTGCAAGACCTGCTCCATCGGCGACGAGTACCGCCTCGCCCTTGTCGCCCCGCAGACCGTCCATCTCCCTTCTCTCACGAAACATCGACAGCGTCATACTCGGCAACGTCCAGTTCGAAACATGGTACTACTCACCATATCCTGACAGCATCATCCTCTCGTCAGAAAATCCACCTACGAATCTTCGAAATGGTGAATTGAACGGCCGAACCGTGTCACCCTCTGCAAGTTCGGCTGCCTCGACGACCTGCCCTGTGCTACATGTTTGTCCATACTGCTTCCGCTACACCCCACACAAGCTTGCTTACGTGGTCCATCTACGCCACCATGAGCAGTTGCGGAAGCAAGACTTCGACCTGCCTCCCGTTCCAGCATCAGCTATGCCCGTCTACAGTCATGGTGGATACTCTGTTTGGGAGGTAGATGGCGAGACGGAGAAGCTGTATTGCCAGAACCTGTCGTTATTCGGGAAGCTGTTTTTAGAGCAGAAGAGCGTGTTCTTTGATACGGGAGGGTTTCTTTACTATGTTCTGACCTACACACCACCAGAGCATGCCTTTAGCTCGGGGAGTAACGCCACGAATCAGGAGCACATGCATGGCGATGGCAGGGAAGACCTTGGCTTGAAGACTGAGGTGCTGGGCTTCTTTTCCAAAGAAAATCCATCGTGGGATAGCAACAACCTGGCCTGTATCCTGATATTCCCTCCATATCAGCACCGACAGCTGGGCAAGCTTCTCATGTCGGTGTCCTACAAGTTATCAGGTTGGGAATGGGAAGGAGGAGTCATTGGGGGTCCCGAGAAGCCACTAAGTGTGATGGGCCGAAGAAGCTACCTCAGATTCTGGAGCGAGCGGATAGCACGTTTTATGCTTGGAGAGAGTGCCGATGCCGACGGTAGGAAGGTATTTGATGACGGTAAGAAGAGGAAGGGACGGAAGGCTGCAGTGATGAAGAAAGCGTTAACAGTGAAAGAGATTGGGGAGAGGACGGGAATGCTAGCGGAGGATGTGGTGGCTGCACTGGCAGAAATGGGGATCTGCGAGATGATGATGCCGAAGAAGGCTAGATTGAAGAAGAGCGGGGAGGTAAACGGGATAGGACGGATGGCTGCAGTGACGGGGAACGATGTTGAAGAAGACGTTGTGACCATGATTGTGAAGAGGTCGAAAGTGGCAGAATGGGTACAGAAACACAACGTGGACCTTCATGATCCTGTCCGAGAGGCAGGATTTATTGGTGAATGGGCCATGAGTGAGGCCGAGACCAACCCAGAAGACATTGAAATGGAAGAGCACGATGGGCAGTAACCGAGCAACCAATCGAGTCGAGATGAGTTGACCCCTGGACTCACTAACTTAGTTGATTAACGACGCGAGGCACATGTCAGGCACTCATACTTTAGCAGATGAGCGGATCAGCATGTTGCAGCGACATATGCACACCCTCGTGGGCCAGGAGTAGTGGATGATCAGCGTACCAAAGAGCCACGCTAGAGGCAACATGCATCCACGGTTCTGAAGATGCATTATCACACCAATGCCGATGACGTTGTTGGGAGGATAGCCTTTCCATGCAAGTTCCTAAACGAGTATCTACAATGCGTGCCAGCCACCCGCTTTGTTCAACACAATCATCCTTGGCGAAGATGAACAGCACGGATGGATCACCATGGCTATTCATACTCTGCCCTCTGCCCTCTGCCCTCTGCCCTCTGCCCTCTGCCCTCTGCTCTCTGCTCTCTGCTCTCTGTGTCGGTGGTCTATGTCGGTGGTCTACTAGAGCGAGACCGGTACCTCTGTTCCGCACGGAGTACGGAACACCCGCAATTGGTAGTTTGCAGCGGGTGGGCTCTTGTTTAGCTAAGAAGCAAAGCATCTTTGCCCTCGCTAAGATGCTCTACTACGTAGTCAGCTTAGTGGATGACGAACAGGCGCTGGTGGCCCGGGACATAACTAGCGTTGCTGCGGATATCGACTCCCAGCCTTAGCTCCAGGCCTGTGCCCCTGACGGATTGCCCAAACAAGTCAAGACTGACATGCAAAGCTCATCACGTCCGCAGGTCTGGGGAAAGCTACCCGATTGCTCGGTATTTGTTCCGGATGGGGGTTCTGTTGACATTACGAGGAGGAGCAGAGAGAGGGGGACAAGAGAAGCTTGATATAAATCCCAAGAGACGCTTCCTGTAAGGTCATGGATCAAAGTCCTGAGACATTTCCCAAGTCCGTGGTGCACTCTGTGATTCTCGAGTCAGGACGCGTTCCAGGGAGAAATAATGCCTGTGTCGTGGTACGAGCAGATTTGATAATTGATGGCAAGGGTATTCACTCTGGAGTATCGATAAAGTCAATTTCAGCCATCTAGCCCAATTTTTACCTCTGTTCCGCTAGCTGAATCCTAGCAAGCCTCCCCTAATAATGCTCCTTTAGGTCATCCAAGACGGTGACAGGACAAAAGAGCCCGCGTCTGGATACTCTTTGGGAAGTTCGGCGTGAGACATGAAAACGGTGCTGCAGCTGCATGTGTCGAGTCGGGCAATTGTTCAATTCTTTTTCGCCAATGCTCAATCTTCCCTGAGTTGTGGTGGAGAGAAATCAATTCTCACCATAACCAATGCGCTGCTGGTGGCAGGAGACGAATCTTAATACTTGCTTGTTACTAAATACTTCTCTGGGACACCATTACTACTTCATTCAACTTGCCGAGACATTGGTGTAGAAGAGACCTGGCACTCGTCCTCTCATTTTTTGGTACCATCTCTACCATCCACCCTCCCTTTGGTAGCTCAACCCTCCCTCTGCCCACCCGTCTGTACCATCCGTTCCCTCGCCCCTCGGCATCTGAGACAGGTATCTCACCCGCCTGCCTCTGCTCTGCTGATCTCGGTCCCTTTCGCAGATGATTGTTGATTGTCGTCGACCCTGCCCCTCGTCTCCGAAAACACACTTTTCCGCAGGTCCCAACTCCTGATCTGTGCAATTCTGTACCTTGCGGATACATAGACCTTCTTTACACGAAAAATCCCAGATATTAGCATAGAGGCCACTTGAACACAGGATACATAACATCCACAAACATCTCGGTCTGCAGACAGCAAAGACTGCGCAAAGACTGCAATACTGCTCCATTGGGTGAATGACCGCACCTCGCAAACAAACTTCCCCTCCGAGTGGATCCCGAACCAAACAATCAACATCCAAACCCAAGCACGTGCGTTGACTCGACAATTCATAAGACAGCGGAGTCGACCACTCTTCTGGACTCATTGTTGCTGGTCACACTTTGTCATTCGCTGCCTGAGTCCTCATATTCAACCATTCCTCTTTTTCGCCATGTCTTTTCAGGATGACGTATCCGCGTCTACCAGTGAAGGAGCTGCTTACCCGTGGATTCTCGAACATTTATTGGCGTATCCTGGGAGCTATGAAATACCACTTCGAACCATGTACACCCTGAATGCCACTACTCAAGCTCCACAACCACAAAATCCGTCGAGCCCTACGTCTTCTTCCTCAAGCTCGGTAGTAGGCAATGCGTTTCCCGCACAACAGAAAGATGAACAACACAACCTGACAACTGCTACGGCGGCTGCACAGCTGCGAGCAAATCTCATGTCCCATATCTCTCAAATCCCCTCGCAACCATGTTCCCTACCACCAAGCTTTGTTACCAGCTTCGTACGCAGATGCTTCCCACCAGATTTGGACCAGGTCGATTTTCCCCAAGCGTTGACAGCGCTAGACTACCTGAAGGATTTGGAGATTCGAAGAAGACGAGAGGTCGTGGCTGCTCTCGACAGACTCGGGATTGACCGAGCTGATTTTGGCGAGCGGTCCGTCCTCGGGCGTAAATACCCCGGTGTCCTACGATGGGTGGTTGATATCGAGGACAAGGAGAGAAAGGTTGAGGCACTCTACACGCAAGTGTTCTTGGGTCTCAGGCGATGGGTGAGCAATATCCCTGCGCAGGTGCCTTACTTATACTTACCGCGAAACAGACCCTGGTTAATGAACTCTCTCTTCTACCTTTCAACAAAGCCAACTGCATTGCCATGTTGAATACTGTTTACCCACCAGCCATGATACCAAACATTCAGTCTGTACAGCCGACACATCAGCTCACACCTGCGATCCTGTCTGCGCAACGAAACGGATTCTTTCGTTACATCACTGCCGTGGAGAAGAATGGTACTGCCGTACTCAAATGTCTCATCAATCAAGGTCGGCGAGCAGGCGAGGAGACTGGCTGGCCTTCAGTGCGGGAGACCATGGACAAGTATCTGCGCATGGCGAGTGGCATCATTGACGAGTGTTTTGAAATCACAGGCAAAGACAGTGTCCAGACACCAGTCTCATCGACTCATAGTGGGACAGAAAACGAGGATGAGAAACAACGACGAAAAGTTGACTCTGGCATCTCTTTCACAAGCTCATCGAACAGAGGTTCCCTACAAAGTCATCAGACCAGGCCAAGCACCAGCAGCAGCATCAACACTCACAGCAGAAATCAATCGGTCGATAAGCCTCTTCCCCCTTATCCACAGCAGACGGTTCACAAGCCCGCAGGGTCGACGCTCGAACGTATTGCTCGAGAAATTCGAAAAATAAGATCCAGGGGTGATGTTTTGGATGGTGCCAAGTCCAAGCCAAATACTGCGGTGGCAGCTGATGTCTCTGTGGCAGATGCAGATGCAGGCCCACCACGGACACCCGGCAAAGACAGAAAGTTGCGGTTAAGACCAAGCTTGATGAAGATGCGATCCAATAATGCACTGCGAGAGAAAGATGGCAACTCCGCAGGAAGCAGACCAGTGTCCAGAGATGATGGTCCAATTGAGGTGGAGGCACCCAGCTTTGATGTGGAAGAGATGAAGCGGAATAGGATGGTTTGGGAGGCTCAGCAGAAGAGAAAAGGCTCGAGGGATAAGGTTGTGTTTATGGATGTGGATAGATGAGGACGAAGAGAGTCAACCATACTCATTCGACTTACGGCCCAGATCACTACTAGGTGGGTGTTGCTCTTTGGGAAGACGAGCATTGTTTTGGAGCTCATTCACTTGCGTGTACAACCCATTCATGTCACAGCAATTGGCGCGCTTGGCTTTGGCGCAGCAATCCGAAAAGCATGGGGAAATGAAGGAACGGAGAAGATTGGGAGCCCTCACGAGCGCGAGAAAGCGATGGCGTTTGATTGAGCATCATGTTCAACGATTCCTGGTTCGTGTGTTACAAAAGCATGAAAGAATGTGCCTTCTCGGCTACCTCGATATGGATTGACCAGCACTATTACGCTGTACTTGTCAGAATAGTCCTGCCCATTGAAGACGGCAAATGGACGACCTGAAAAGTGGCTGATGTATTCTGTCCTTGAATTGTGAACTGGCATTTGCCGCTGATGAACCATCCTGAACTCCCTGAACCTCCCTGAACCTCCTTGAACCCCTTTTCCGGTAGAGGAACAGGCCTTGGCAATACATAAGCCCGAGGTTTGTCGCTCGAGGGCAGCTTCCAGCTCCAGTAGACATCATCCTCCACCGAACTTTGCCAGGCACAATAGCAGACCAAGAGTGTTCTGCCTACCCACCTTTACATCCCCTCAGCTGCTGACGATTTCAATGGGGGCGTGGGTCTACAAGGCACAGACAACAATACACGACTGTTCGCTGACTCCACAACCCCGGCTGTCCACGCAAATATGGCGGCAGAAACATCCAAAAGGTACACACTGCTGCTGCTCGAGTCCTACTTCTTGCATGGCATCGAAACGCACTGACGTTTGGAAGTGCGCCGTTTGCATAATTCCTCAGCTTCGTCTACATGTAACTGTCTGCGCTTCTCATGCTCTAGGTCGGAGGAACTTAGCTGTGCACATACACACACACAATCTCTCTCTCCCTCTCTTTCTCTCTTTGTGTTTGAAACCCAGATCACGGAAAAAGACCATAGCTTCATCCACAATTGTTTCTGTTCATGACGAGAATTAGCTCTGACAAAGCTTCCTTGCAGCTCCTCTTTCTCCGCCACTGAACCAAGCACCAACCCTCGCGGGATCCCAAGCTTCCCCTTCATGACCTCCATAAGCTCCTACGTCAGCAGCGCTGCAGACGTCGAGCCCACCCTGCGCCGCTTCCAGGAGATGATTGCCAAATACCAGTTCATGGAAGCCAATGTATCCAAACGAGCTGCGGGGCTGAGGGAGAAACTACCCGAGATGGAGAGCACACTCTCCACCATCCGCTTCCTGCGCAGAAGGAAGGCGAAGCTCGAAGAGGGTGATGATGATGATGATGATGATGATGAAAAAGAAGAAGCGGTGGCAGATCTCGAAACCACATTCTCGCTGAATGATACGCTCTACGCGAAAGCCAAGATTGCGCCCAGGGAGATCGAGGAGGTGTATCTCTGGTTGGGCGCTAACGTGATGGTTGCGTATCCTCTGGCCGAGGCGGAGGAGATGCTGAAGGCGAGGGTGGAGAAGGCGGAGGAGACGCTGAAGGCTTGCGCCGAGGACATGGAGTTTCTGAGGGTGCAGATCACGACGGTCGAGGTGGCGACGGCGAGGGTGTATAACTGGGATGTTGTGGAGAAGAGGAAGAGGAAGGCAATCGCTGGGAAAGAGGGCGCGGAGGGAGAGGAAGAAGGAGGACAAGAGGAGGGTTAGGCTCAGCGAAAGGGTTGAGGTGCAGCTGCAAGATTTCGAAGAAGAAAAAGAATTCAACTTCGGTGGAATCTTCTCTTGCAATCTCCATGCAGTGAGTGTGCCCATACGACTCAGCAGAAGCAGTACAGCGGTTAAGCATCAGCTACGAAGGAAAAGAGCAAATGCAGTCCTCTCTGCACCTGACTGAGTCCTGTCTTAGCCGTCGGGGCCAACGGACAAGAAGGCCAGATCAAAGCGTTCTGCAAGTCACGCCTGAACCGACGACGACATCTGATCACCCACCACCCCAGGATTACTCCAGAAATTGAGAAGAATTCTGGAGCAGGACGATGCAGCAATGGCAGATGGATGGCTATGCGACATACTCCTCAAACACACGCCCGCGTCCCACTAACCCTCTTCGATCAACGCCCTCTGACGCATCCCGAGAGGGGAAGATGGTCTTCAATTCTGCTGAGCCACCGGGGAGCCTTGGGCTTCAGCAGAAACAATAGTCTGTCTAGCCAAGGAAGGCATCACGGGAAACAAGAGGCGAAGGTCAAATAGTAGGCCGCTATGATCAGTGGCTGGCTATTTTTACAGTTGATGAGTTCAGACATGCGCAGTATGGCAAGAAGAGTGTGAACCAGATTTTGCGGTTTCATATCCTCTTCATCCCCCCAACCTTCTATAGCTAGCTATCGGGATAGCTTGGTTTATGGATACAGCACAGCCCCTCAGCTCGCTTCCCAACCTGCTTCCCAACCTGCTTCCCAACCTGCTTCGCTGATTCGAGCCCCTGCGTGCGTTGCGTCGTCCGTCCGCGCTGGAGATCGAGATACGACACAGCGTGGGAAACCTGGGACACGACTCGGCTGAGAAGCCAGGACATGACACAGGATCGTATAGATAGATACAGGGGCAAGCCATAGTGCTGGCGAGAAAAAGAAACGAGTGGGTTCTTTTTTCTTCCAGGCAATCCACTCCAACTAAGTTAGTGGACTGTATTCCACCAACCTGCCCTGCAAAAGCTTGGAAGACATGCAAGAACTCGAGAGTGGGATCGAAGATGTGGATTTCAGAATTGGTCTCTAGGTTTTCCCGTCGTGGTCATCATCATCAGCGATACTGTCCTCACCTGGGCCAGTCGGGTTGTATACGCAACTCTTCTTTCGTATTGTATCCATATCGTAGCATATCGGGGTACTACCCGGCCCAATTCTTTGCTTCAGCGCCGATAGACGGTGGAGCCATTCGCCTGCAAGAAGTCCACCGTTTCCCTCTCTATCCGTATTCCTAGCTCAAACCGGTCCCTTTGAGCCCTGCCCACTCGCACCACCGTATGCCTTGCCTCCACTCCCGAAATCCATCAGCATATCACTACAACTTCTCCCCTTGAATCGTAGCAACAACACTCCTCGTATGCTTCCTTGCGCGGAACTCCAGATACCAAATCCCCTGCCACGTCCCCGTAGCGAGCTCACCATTGCTGATGGGAATAGTGACGCTGGAGCCTATCAGGGCGGATTTGACATGTGCCTACAGCGCAACACCATCGTCTTAGCCTCATCATCACCACCAGCAACAACCATCAACACCGTCCTCGAAAACACGAGAAAGAGAAAAGAAAGAAAAAGGGTTGAGCAGCCTAAGACCGGTCCCGGCAGTACCAAACACACCCCAACCCTTCCATCTCACAAAATGCTTACTTACCGGCATGTCATCTTTGCCCTCCGCCGAATGCCTATACAGCTTCTCTCCACCACTGCCACCCTTCGAGTGCTGATGCGGACCATCCTCCGGCACGATCCGGTCCAAGGCATCACTCATATCCTCTCGCACCTCCTCGTCCCAGTTCTCATTCATGCTGAGCGCGCAACTCGTGTGCTGCACGAACAGATGTAGGAGTCCGACTTTGTAGGACGAGATCTCCGCGAGGGGGGAGGGTGAAGGATTTTTGGATCCAGGACATCTTTTCTTGGGGTGGGGATGGCTGCTGGGTGGTAGTGGTGGTGGTGAGGGGGGTAAGGCAATGGGATGGGCAGGGCGGGAGGGATGATGGGTTTCTAGGAGGGGTGGAAGCGAAGGGGAGGAGTGGTAGTTTGATGAGAGTCAAGAATGCGCTGGGGAAGAAGGCTAGGATGAATATGGTGAGGAAGAGGAATTGATAGAATGGAGAACTCGTCCAGGATGCTGGAGGCATATGAAAGATGGGTTGCTCATTTTCCTCGCGTGGATAGACAAATAATTATTTACGTCGTCATAGAGGCGGGGTACACTAAAGATAGTTCCGTACACCCTTGTTTTACACCCTCTATCTTCAACCCTCTATTTCTCTACCAATTCAAGCTGAAATCGTCTACAAAATGGCTCGAATGCGCAAAACAAGCAGAAGAAACTGCCAAAACCCTAATCCTGCGATTAATTTGAGCCCAAAGTCGCCACGCAGGCCAAGAACGATAATTGACACTCCGCGCCATGTACGGCTTCTTGCTGACGCACAAGCTACCGCAGGCATATTGACTCGGAAAGAGCTATTTAAGCTGCATGATATAGGTGAGGCAGCAGGATATCGAATCCTTAAGTCGAAAATAACGCGCTGAAGCAAACGAATCTATAACTGTGGCCGAAAAGCGGTTTTAGCCTTATACAAACGTGATGCTATTAAGACAGTTGAAAATGCTTTATTTCGCTTCAGAACTACCTCTTATTTCGCTAATGTAAGCGCTATTAGCCTAGCTTATAGATCTGAATATGTAATTTAATGAAATATAGCTAACGTGGTTCATAAGCAGCCCGCCCATACAAGCAACCCGCCCACTTTTCTTCTACTTCACAACCTTCTAACTATTGTACGCAACTACAACACAAGAAAATCAATTATCTTCTACATCGCTATCTTCCTCAGATGTCTCTTCAACCTCCTGACAGGTTCGTACATTATGGTTAGTCTTGCCACATCTCCCACAATGCCGTAAACCCAATGACCTAGTCTGCGTGACACCCTCTTCCACCGACCTTCTACTCAACTGCGATCGTACAATCTCTTTCTGCTTAATTAAACTATGTGCATCCTCTACAGTAAGTGCACCTCCAGCTCGTACGCGTGTCTTTTTAGCCCTCCGACGCTTTGCAAGGGCCTCATTAGCCTTGCGAAGCGTACGGACCTCCTCATGCAAAAGAGTCATTTGATGAGCAATCAGCTCTGTACCCTTCGCTAATTGCTTCACAGCTAAAAAAACACTAGTCAGAGAGCTTCCTTGATATCTAGCAATCTGATTTCGTACGTGCTCTAATTGTGAAACAGCGTTATTAGAATTGTGTGGTCCAGTCGGTGTTGGCGTCCGTAACTTAATGTCAAGCTTGGATAAGACAGCCTGAGGGTCATACGGCACAAGACCAGTACCTTGGAAGCCAGCTTTGATGTTTTCAGCTGTCATTGTGTTAAAGTGGGCGGCTTTGAAGGCAAGGAGAAACTCAGTCTTGGTGATATGGTTGATATGGGCTTTGATGAAATCCTCAAGTGTACAATATCCACTGAAACAACCAACATCTAATGGTTGAGTAAGATAAGAAGAGTGTGCAGGAAGACAAAGAGTAATAATATTCTTCTCTTTACAGAATTCTTCAAACTGGACAGATAAATGACTCTCATGACCATCTAAGACAATCATTCAATATGCACCCTTCCGTTGTACGAAAGTATGCTTATCAAAGTGCTTGATCTAATCTAAAGCTGTATTATTGTTCGTCCAGCTATTGCCTGAGGTCTTGATCACCCAAGAATCAGGAAGGTCACATTCAGTGTACCAAGAGGCAAGATGATTAACACCTTGCAAGATCAAGAATGATGGTAGTACAAAGCCATCACTACTCACGCACTCAATCGCTGTCGCCCATTCACGATTGCCAGGCTAAAGCTGCTTACCTTGACCAGATTGATCTGCGCAGGTGACTACCATATTGCCGCAGATGACTCCCATCATAAAGCCTGTCTCATCAAAGTTGTAGAAGTCACAATCTTGGATGCCATACTTCGTACGTATATTAACCACTAGCCGGAACCACGCGTTTATCTGGTCGGGATCTTCACAGAGGGCTCTCTGGAAGTCGTACGCACGCGAAAAACGCGTCTTGAGCTCAGGGCGGCGTTGTACAAAGTTGTATGGCCACTGCTTGCCAACAGGCTTCGCATGACGCGTCTTGCAGAGAAGGTCAGCCATATCTCATACGTCGTCGATCCGGGGCGGGAATCCTCGCGAATCCAGGTCGAGGATATGTCGTACGAGGGTCTCTTCTTCGGTCAGGGTCAAATTATGTTGAGCTTTACGTACTTCGGCGTTCGGGGTACAGCCCTTCATTCGATCGCGGAGGGTGGTTCGAGGGACATTGTACGTCTTTGTAGCACATCGGATCGACATTTCCTGGTTTGTACGGATAGCCTGAATAGTAAGGAGGATTCTGGCTTCTTGAGATTAGGAATTCATTATGTTGTTGTGTTGTGGTTGCGTACGATAGTCAGAAGGTTGCGAAGTAGAAGAAAAGTGGGCGGGTTGCTTGTATAAGCGGGCTGCTTATAAACCACGTTAAGCATAATATTATATATATTATTCTATTTAACGTCTGTTCGGTCCCTATTTATAGGGCCATGTAGATAGCTACCTAGCAAGGGAAAAGCCACGAGGCGCCTCTGCCCCACCTGCGTTTTGTCTGCGTACCTGTTGCCCCCTCCTGTGTAGTCATCCTTTCAACCATACACTAAATATCTTAGAGGGTCTCAACCTCTGCCGTTACCACTCCTCTGCTGCATCAAACACTCTGTACCCTCCTAGCTCCTCCTCTGCTATCTCTTTTGCGGTACGAAATTGCTCTAAGATCCCTGTGCGGATGAACCAGCGAGCCGCCTGCTTTGCGCATGCGGGTTGGGAGAGGATCTCGCTCATACGCTCTGTTCCGCAGGCAGCTAGCATGCCTACTCTGTTATATCTTGGGCAGTATAGCAGGATATGGCGAACTGTTTGCGTATGCCAGCCGCAGGCGCAGGCAGGG